ACCTAGTAATTTAAATAGTGAATAAAACCTTTGGAAAGTGTGTTAAATTTTATTATAAAAAAAAAAAAAACTTTGTACTCGTATCAATCGTCCAAGAATATATACTTACAGTTGTACCAAGAGTTGTAGATTACGTTTTGATTCGCAACACTCTCCCAATGATTTCACTCGTGTACCTACAGTTTCCTTATTCGATTTCATACCTCTGTGACAAAAGTGTCGACTTTCGGCGCGAGAACCATAATAATAACGAGTTTCTTCTGAGAATGGTCCTTATATCCTTTTTTAGGGGAAAATGACATCATTTTGTTAGATAGCCCTATATTGTTATTGGCCGTAACATGTTTTGCCTTGCCATCTACCGGAATGTTACCTACATGTCGCAGTTGGGCATAATAAAAAGGATGTTTCTGAGATATTTTTGTGTAATTTAGAATGGAAAGCTGACGTACTAGTGGCCAGTGGTAACCAATGCTTACAGACATACCTACACAGTACCATAGAATCACAAAATAAACGGTATCCTTTATGCGTTGCTGTTCCTGAGGATTATGGTGTTATGGGTCCGTTTTTTATAACTTCACTACTATATCCCACCCTTTAAATTGAAATATGCATCTACAGCTATATAAGTATAACTGCTTCATGGTAGAATCACGAATGATACAGAGGTATTGGATACCTCATTGGGCAGACGATGTTTTAATATTATTATATTAGCAGAAGTAGACATTGTATGTTTGTCATATCCTTGTGATGCCTCTATGTCTCAGTTTTGTTTTGTTTTTGTCAACAAAACATCAAATTTAATTAATTTTACCACTTTAAGATAGTAGATAAGTCCGAATACTTAAATTTGCAAAATGATCTACAAATTCGTAACTAAGTTTTACGAACATTTCTTGATTGTATAACAATAGAGGGTAACTGGAGAAAAATTGTAACAGATGAGAATCGTAGAATAAAATTTTGCTTCAACTTCGCTCATTCATTTATTAAACTTTATGAACTTTGGAGAATAATCTATGAACTATTCTACAGAACTATTCCAATAAACTATTATGATTCGATTAGGAGGAAATTTTTCTTCCAACTCCTATAAGAAAAGTATAATAGACTCGAAAACGGGTAGTTATAGTTTAGCTAAAGAGTTGGGCGTACGCGGTATTGTTGGCTATCAGATCGCTGCTGTGTAGATTTATAGCGGGTAAAAGTTTGTGCCGTTAACGTCCCGTGACAGTTTCGTGTCTTTGTGTGGTAACAAGCCGAGTTCGACCTACTCGGGCGCTGGACGCACGGCTAATAAAACTCCGAGGCGGGGTTGTCGGGGTCGGCCTTTATCATGTTGATGAGCGGATACCTCACAAGTTTCCTGACCCCATTTCATAACAATATTAATAGCTTTTTTGAACATACAATTTAAATCTGAACAAATAAAGCTTCATGGAACGCAAATTGGACCAAACAAAAGACAAGGGTCAAGTACATAGATGAGCTTGCCACTTTTTTCTTGTGCAAATCTGTTTAAACCCGTCTGGTTCATAGACTTGCGGCCGCATCGGACCCCCGCTTTATTAGTTTAGGACCCTATTACTAAGGTGTATAAGTACAAAGGAGCTTTATTAAACCTCATTCGGTATGTTCGTTTCTCGTGCCTATTTTTTGTTGTCCCAAGTCGAAGGATAACTATGTTTGGTTTGTGCGACATCTGCTGTTTGTTCAGCTGAATACGCACGTAAAAAACAATACCGGAGTCTAGTGTTTGCACAAACGATAAAAACTATTTTATTCTCAATGTTAGGCAACTAGAATATTTCTATTGTGAATATTTTTTTTTTAATAAATAGTTAATATTTATTTTAACTTGATGATGGATGAAATTATTCATGGTTACAAAATTTTGAGCTGAAAATACGAATATATTGTTTAATAGCTAAAATTTTTGTTATACTAAAAGTATAACTAAAATTGCCAATTAAAAAGAGTAAGTACATTTAGATTAAAGACAAAACTGTGAATTTTATCTCTTATTTTCTTCGTTCTGCTAAAAATACATTACAATTTTTTAAATAAAAAGTATCCTTTACACATAAGAGCGCGAAAACAAACTGCTTTTGTTAAAAGAAAGAATGACAAAACACGTACGTTTTTCATATGTTGCTTTGTCTAATTCCTGTTACAAAGTGGGACGAAAAAGAGCACGGAATGAATGCGGTGGTTTTTTTATTAAATTACTCGGGGACTGTGACAAACAGTGGCCGCTTGCTCCTTGGTAGTTCATATGCTCCCGGCGACCGCGCCAATAAAATACGTGTGACAACCCTCCCCACTCACCCCGCGCTTCCACATCGCATTTTTACTTGCCAGTTGCCACTGTTGCTAATGAAATTAGAGTACCTACAGCTAAGACTACACAATTATAGCGCTGCGAATTTTATAATACGTTTTTACACGGCGACTTTTTGCCTTTTCGCCTCTCCTTTCGCTGCGGGCAAATTGTGTCGTTTGCGAGGCAACCCTCCCGACACTTGTGAATGTACTCGGGTAAAAAGCAATGAAACTCAGAGGGCCCCGGGCTTTCTCATGCTAATACAGTATGCTGCCTCGCAGCCCTGTCTCGTGAGGCTGTCTGTTGCGTTCCGACAACTGTGAAATTGCACCTTCTAAACAGTGTAACTCGAGCGTTACGTTACATAAACAAATAAACGTTTTTAATTTTTAAATATTAGATTTATTATTGGTTAGTTGCAAAATAGAATATTCGAAAATATAAAATGGTATAATCGAAATTATAAGTGTCGTTTTACATGTGTGTACTAATAATGGAACTTCTTATAGAAACATGTACAAACATGGGATATGACAATAAAATTACAGGGGTGTAATATCTTAGTCCTTAGGAATGGCAACGCATGAAGGTTATCATGGGCGACACAGTATATGGTACTCTGTTATGTTAATGTCTAAAGGCAATGGTTACTATTTTCCATTTGGTGGTCTGTTAGCTTATTTGCTATACATAAAAACATATTTATTTTTTGATAGGTCTTTTATGTGGATATTCTGGATTTATCTTTTAATAAATTTAAAACTATTATTAAGGAACACTTATTGAACAAAACCTATTATACATACTAAACGATTACTTGAGTGATAAACGTGAATGGTGTTAATCGATCATGTAACGGGCTTTTAATGACCAATTTTAGACATAGTATTGTACATTTAAATAAGATTAGGTTAACGGAGATTTAAAAGAATAACAGTTGAGTTTCTTGCGGATTCTTCTTAGCAGATAAGAACAATCTGAGCCCCGCAGTAGATTTATAAAAAAGACAATTTACAATAAAAGTGCTTGTAAACAAGTCTATTTCAGTAAAGAAGTTTAGAATATTAATTTTCCTGTAATCGCGTCGCATAAAGTTCCCTGATCGTGAATTGAAAAAAAGCTTATACTAATTTGGCAGGTGGTAAGGGTTTTACTAGTTTTTTTTTTCTAATATTTAGATCAACTGAAAGCTCCCTTAAAAGGATTATCAAAATTTAAATAACCTATATTTGCAATAATCGCAAATCGTGATAAGGAATTCATAATATAATTAGAATAACTCAAATGCTGATGATGATATCTTTATTTACTTATTTATCATTAGTATTATTTATTATAACTATAATATATAATTTATTACCAGAAGGAGACTTTGTACAAAAGTCGATTGCTTGGGTACCTCTGTCCCATTCGTGTTTCTACCGAGAAGCAATTGTGTTTGCATAGCTGTGTTTCTGTTTGAAGGGTGGGATATGGCGTGAATTTACAGGGTACAGAGGAATAACATCTAAGTCCTCAGGAATGGCAACACATGGGGGTTATCATGGGCGAAACAGTCTACTCTGTTATGTCCATGGTACTGCTCATGTCTATAGGCGACGGTTACCACTTTCCATCAGGTGGGCCGTCAGCTTGTTTGCCATTCTAAGTTGTATAAAAAAATACTATAAATGTGAAAGCGAGGTTGTTCGTTTGTTTGTTATCATATCGCGCTGCAATGGCTTAACTAATCATTATGAAATATGGGTATATACGTACTATATGAGATGGACAAGAGTATATGTCACTTTTTGCCCTGGTAAGTAAATATATCCCGGTCACGCAGCCGAAGTCACGAGTAAAAGCTTGTATACAATATTACCTACCTCCTTATAATATTCTTCTCTCATTATTTAATAATCTTAAGAATTGTTAGATGCGGGAAACAGGCGGTAATAAAATGCGACCTCTCAAAACCACTCTTATGACGGGAAAACTAAATTAAGTCCATAAATGGAATGGAGAAAACCATACGAACTGATGCTTTCACATATAGACCGAAAGTGTATTGGAATAGGATAATTATTTTTCCCACTGACCACATTTAGCGGTAAGCGGATTATCCTAATTGACTGCGACATTGTGTTCACCCATTTCTTCGCTCTATTACTTGACCATCAGTCAAGCTTTCGTAATAAAGGCATATAATATGTATTTTTATAGGAACAACATTGTGTTTTTATGGTAAGGTATACTTTATAGATATAAAAAACCTTAGATTCATATTTCCATACATAATATAAACTTAAATATGTTATGAGATAAAATTATAAGCGAGTATTATTCGTAATTAAACGATTTGATCATTTACATTTTGAAACTCCTTCTTATACAGATATTTATTTTACTTTTATATATATATATAATATATTACAAAATTTGTAACATCTTTCCGGTACATTTTTCGATAAATAAAAATATAAAAACGTTGAAAGTGCAGTTATTGACCTTATTACGTGTCTTTATTTTTAATTAAATTAAAATTGAAAATGATTTTAAGCGTAACTTTTGCACGGGATTATGGATCGTAGATTGTTTTGTACATCGATATCGCTTGTATACCATATAACGTGACTAAATTAACTTTATGCAGTAAATCGACAAATTTTACGAATAATATTTTTCTCCACAGGTCCGATGGGTCCAGCAACAGCGAGAGCGGCGGAGGGTTAAGCGCGACTACAACCCGTACGATGCCGGTTTGTTCTCATTGTCAAGGAGACCAACTCATAGGACTCACCATCGAGCGCTGAGTTCACTACCCTTTTTCCCTGATCCGCTATTTAAGGAGGAATGGTATTTGGTTAGTACGGATTTTCCCTACATTATCTTACGTATGTTGACCAAATAGGCGACGTGCTGAAGAAGGGCCAAATTAAAAGTACCCGTAACCGGCGAGCGTGTATGAAAAGATTGATGAATGTGGAGGAAGCGAAAGAGGTTTGTTTAAATCGAAGCATTTGGCGTTCCATTGTTTCTGCCTACCCTAATGGAAGACAGGCGTGATGGATATGTATGTATGTATGTATGTATGTATCTTAAGAATTCTATGATGTCCCACAGTTAGGAATGAGTCTCTCCTCACAAGTATGGTCTGTTTCAATACATCATAATGAAAATAAATTAGCAACAAAACGAAATCACTACATAGTATAAAACAAATCGCTTCCCGTCTGTCTGTCCCTATGTATGCTTATATCTCTAAAACTACACAACGGATTTTGATGTGCTTTTTTTTCATAGATAGAGTGATTCAAGAGGAAGGTTTATATGTATAATAAATGCATAATATAGTAGAGAAACACTGATAATTTTAGAGGTTTCTAATATGATGTAATGTAATGTGCACCCGTGCGAAGCCGGGGCGGGTCGTTAGTATTCAGTAAATTAATCAATTTTTTTGTCTGTAGTAATATTGAACATCAACAGTGCTGATGTTCAATAGATAAATAAACAATAAATAAACAATATTTATACATAGTTTAGTAGTAAATGCACCTCTTACTTAATTTTCTGCTTGCCTCATGGTTGACTGGTAGAGAACGCCATTGTAAATTAATAAACAGTCTGTCTTACGGTGAGGTCAATTATTATCTTATTTACATTTTCAGTATTTTCTATTGAAACAGGAAAAATTTAAAATATTATTTTATTTTAAAAGTGAATTATGTTGGCAGAATGGTGGCGCGAAGGATGGTCTCGACATGAACGTTGCTCCCGCGTGGCAGAAAGGTTACACTGGAAAAGGGGTAGTAGTCTCAATCCTGGATGATGGTATACAGACTAATCATCCAGACCTCGCGCAGAATTATGTAAGTAGGAAAAGCGCAGATTTATACAACCCACATATACATAGTCGATATCATAAAATTTCCTTGTTGGAGAGTAATATAAGTGGAATTGAATATTCTTCAACAAATAGCAACTAAATTTAGGGGTTCATTGTTTGCCAGTTCTGGTGTTTCTTTGTATGTGTGTGTATGTCTATGTATGTATATGTATGTGTATATGTATGTATATATGTGTGTGTATATATGTATATATTTTTAATTTGCAAAATATGCTTTTTTAATTATACAGCACTATCATACCTACTTGTACAACAATTAGTCCATTATTTAAGGTTGTCTTGAAAAGATTGCTCTCAGCAATAAGACCGCCTTAATGTACTTATACAATTGTATCGTTGTGTTTGTAAATTGCCTTGCTTATTTCCTATATTGTATAATGCAAATAAAATATACTCATTAATTCATTCACTTTTATTGGTATCAGTACATTTAATTAAAAGAGAGTCTATATTACTATTTCAAAATATTTAATATAATATAGTGTGTATATATATATATATTATATCTCCATATACGTATAAATTTTCAATTGCTAATGGCAATGAAATTATAAGGTACCGAGGCATAACACCTTAATCTTCAAGCATTTCGTAACGCATGGAGGGTATCATAACATAATAGGGCGATACAGTATACAGTATAATATATATCCATGGTACTGGTTATGTATATAAACGTCGATTACCATCAGGTGGGCTGTCAGCTTTTCTGCCATTCTAAGTTGCATAAAAAAACCTAATTATTATTGAAAAATGTTTTTCACATTTTAATATTATTTTTGTATCTCTATAAAGTATATAATTTAAATAATTTATTAGCCTTAAAGTGACATATATTCTTCTTACATATTTATATGATACTAATAATAATAATTTATTTGTTACATAAATTTTAATATCTGCTCATTGGATTTGACACGATAGTTCGAGTGCTATTTCGTGGATTTGTAAAATGAAATTACAATGAAATTACAATTAATATAATATAAATACAGTATGTATTTAATTTATATATATATATATATATATGTTTATATATATATAACAATTATACAATTTTGAACTATAACGGCTCATCTAATAGACAGTGGTAACCGTCGTCTATATACATGAACTATGCATATCATAAAATAATATCTTAATAATTAAGGAATCAAGTTCTCGTGACTTTATTATTATTTTTATTAGTACATACCTACATTGTATTTCCCGAGAATCCTTATTCATATAACTTTAATATAAATCTTCTAAGAATTACGAATCCGACAGAAATTATTCTGATAATATTCAAGATTCTGCTGAACGAACAAGAACGCAGTGTCTTGGAACGAGTAACATTGTGGGGTGTATGCCATATTTCCACAATGTTCAGTAAGTCGTATACACTACTGTTAATGGCTTGCATATCCTGGGTATTTTTTATTCACAGAGATTTGTCCTCCGTGAACAAAAAGTCAAAAATTTTAATATCTCATCATTCAACTATCAAAGAAAATCTTTGAATTTTCCTGAATAGAATGAATTGCACGTTCACGTTGTTCTTGTTCACGTTATGTAATGTTCTACTGCAATAAAATACTCCAAAGTTTGTCTTTTGTATTTTTTTATAAAGAATACGAGTAATATTTATGTAGAAGTATTATTGGAATGTCTTTCTATAGAATATTGAAATTTTGCTATTAACAAACAATTTCTCTCATCTCTAATTAATGTCAATATTGCCGAGTTGCAAAGCAGTTCCAATTAGATTATTTAATATCAATATCTACTAACCTATACCTAGAAAATCCAGACTTTATAGAATTAACTATTGCTTAGATAAATCATATCTTATTTATGTTGTAGTAATGAAGGATTAATAGAGCTAAGCCACCCATGTTATCTCCTAAATCAGTCAACTATATCAATTAAATAGATTTATTGAAATTGTATAAATGTTGTTCACGATTTTATTTATTATTTAAGCTATAATTTTATTTTATTGAATAAAAAAATAAATTTTGTGTCAAGATATTTCGCGGACTTCAAACCATACAGGCGTACATATGAAACTCTCTTCAAGAGAGAAAATACTTGAGAGTTTTCCGGCATTTCCCCCAAAAAGTTTTTCTCTCTTACAAGGCTTTACATTTACGCCCTTATGGTTTTAAGTCCACCATATACTAGATTTACGTATTTTATAAAGACGTCAAACATCTATTAAACCTATTTGAGATTAGTCTCTTTTTTCGATCTAAATTGTTTATTTGAAAGTGATTAATGTAAAGGGCTTAAGTGAGACTGAAATTCAGTACTGTGTAGATTTATGACAATAGAAGTTGTGCATGTATAAAACATAAGTAAAAAGCTCTTGTAAAAATAATTGTACTTTATATATTTTATTCCACTTTAGTTTTTTATTATTTTTTTCTTTCTATAATTTAAATAACTTATCAGAGAATTTATGTTTTCATTTACTCTTAACGGTTCAATTGCTGTATCAAGTTTCATTAAAATTTGTACGTGTGAATAATTTTATCTGTGTCCTATTATTTACAGAAATATCTTTTTTTATTTTACGATACTGTTGTAATGTTCTATAAAAGTTTTAAAAATATTTTAGGATCCCAATGCTTCAACCGATATAAATGGCAACGATGACGATCCCATGCCTCAAGATAACGGTGATAATAAACATGGTACCAGATGTGCTGGTGAAGTGGCCGCAGTCGCATACAATCAGTATTGTGGAGTGGGCATTGCTTATAATGCCAGTATAGGTGGTGTCAGAATGTTGGATGGAGTAGTAAACGATGCTGTCGAAGCAAGGGCCTTGGGTCTCAACCCTGATCATATAGATATTTACAGTGCTTCTTGGGGACCTGAAGATGATGGAAAAACAGTTGATGGTCCAGGACCACTAGCTAGGAGGTAACATTTTAACAATTTCAATTTTATAATAACTTCACTATATTATGTATTTACATCCAATTTATTTTAAATTAATGTTTTAAACTTTTCTAATATTACTTTTTAGAGCATTCATTTATGGAGTAACAAGCGGGCGTAATGGAAAGGGCTCCATATTTGTATGGGCGTCAGGAAATGGTGGTAGGCATACGGACTCTTGCAATTGTGATGGTTATACAAATAGTATATTTACGCTCTCAATTTCTAGTGCCACACAAGGTGGTTACAAGCCCTGGTATTTAGAAGAATGCTCTTCTACATTAGCTACCACCTACAGTTCTGGTACCCCAGGCCACGATAAAAGTGTTGCTACTGTCGATATGGATGGACGACTTAGACCTGACCACATTTGTACTGTAGAACATACGGGTACTTCAGCGTCAGCACCTTTAGCAGCTGGTATATGTGCTCTAGCCCTAGAAGCTAATCCAGATCTAACCTGGAGAGATATGCAATATTTAGTAGTATTAACATCTCGCCCATCACCGTTAGAAAAAGAAAATGGGTGGATTGTAAATGGAGTCAAAAGAAAAGTTAGTCACAAATTTGGGTACGGTTTGATGGATGCAGCTGAGATGGTGAATTTAGCTGAACAGTGGGTATCTGTACCGCCTCAGCACATATGTAAATCACAAGAGAATAATGAAGACAAGCCTATAGAATCTTCATTTGGTTACACATTATCAGTGTCTATGGATGTAACTGGATGTAGGGATACAGTAAATGAAGTTCGTTATCTCGAACATGTTCAATGTAAAATATCCCTAAGGTTTTTCCCCCGCGGAAACTTACGTATACTTCTAACTTCACCGATGGGAACCGTCTCAACATTGCTATTTGAAAGACCCCGAGACGTTGTTAGCTCTAATTTCGATGATTGGCCATTTTTAAGCGTACATTTCTGGGGTGAACACGCTGAAGGTAGATGGACTTTACAAATTGTAAATGGCGGCAATAGACATGTGAATCAGCCAGGTATACTAAAGAAATGGCAACTAATATTTTATGGTACTTCAGTTGATCCTATAAGATTGCGATCTAAAACTAGGCCATCGCCTGTGGCTCCTCCGTTTGCATTCCCAACCGCTGCGGATGCTTACGACGCTATCGGGGACCCTTTTTACAATAGTGACGCGTTTGCTAATTACCAAAACTTTCCCTCTTTATTTGCCGCTGGGTCAGATCCCGAAAAAGCGGTAGCCCGTCTCGACGGACATAACGTCCCTTCACCGCATGGGGAGAATGTCCTCGCTGATAGTAATGACAAGCGCGTCATGCACGAATGTGATCCCGAATGCGATTCTCAAGGTTGTTATGGAAAAGGACCGACCCAATGTATTGCCTGTAAACATTATCGATTGGATGATGCTTGTGTCTCGCGATGTCCACCAAGAAGTTTTGCGAACCAAGGAGGTATATGTTGGTCATGTCACGAGACATGTGAAACCTGTGTTGGCCCAGGACAAGATTCCTGTTTAACATGTGCTCCAGCACATTTATTAGTAGCGGATTTAGCTGTATGTCTTCAACAGTGTCCTGACGGATATTGGGAAGATAGTGAATCATCAGTGTGCCGACCCTGCGCTGCACATTGTGCAACTTGTTCAGAGCGAGCGGATGCTTGTACTTCTTGCGAGCATCATTTAGTACTTCATGATGGAACTTGTGTGGCTTCGTGCCCACCTTCATATTACGAGACAGAGGACTATACATGTGCTAAATGTCATTCATCGTGTGTTACTTGCGAAGGACCTGGAGAAGCTCAATGCGTGACATGTCATCCATCAAGCTATGCATTGGAGGGGCGCTGTGTAACATCTTGTCCCAGCGGGTACTATGCTGACAAGAAAAGAAAGGAATGTATGAAGTAAGTATTATTTATTTAGGTTCTTTTTGTATTTTATGTTAGAAAATCTTAATGAATATTTATTCTGTTGTAGATGTCCAGTTGGTTGTACCACATGTACAAGTGCGTTCTGTCTTACCTGTGATATTAATTGGGAGTTAAATAAAAAAAATAAGTGTGTACCTGTGGGATCGGAGCGATGCATTGCTGGAGAGTTTACTGATGGACAAAGATGCCATCCCTGTCACTCAGCCTGCGAAACATGTTTCGGCGAAGACGAGTCCCATTGTTTGACTTGTCCATCTCCTGATTTACTTCAGGATTATAAGTAAGTGGTTAATAAATCATTAATTTGTATTTAGCCCATAAACAAATTTTAATGAAGAAGTTTTAAAACACTCATTTACTTCTGTTTTCACATGTATAGTTTAACAGTTTTTTAATAAATTAACTATATTATTTTATTGTAACCAATACATTTCATTTTAGGTGTGTGTCAGAATGTACTCGTGGTTACTACCCAGAAGCAGGCAAATGCGTAGGCTGTGTGCACGGGTGTGCAGACTGCGTATCCCGTCTCAACTGTACTGCTTGCGCGGGTTCTTTACGACTGCAGTCTGGGGCCTGTAGGACCTCTTGCGCTGATGGGTAATTAATTGTTACTTTCGCGATATAATAATTTCTATACTATTTTTGTTGTATTAAATGTTTATCCACGTATATGTATCTTTAAGTGGTAAGGCAAATACAACTGCAGTATTTAAAAAAAAATAGTATTTTTTCTCTCATTTTTGGTCCTAGGTTAAAAACTACGCAGTGTAAAAATAAATAAGAACTAGTTTTAAAATGTACAAATAAAGCCCTTTTATATTATATCTCATTTGGACTATTGTCTCCATTTTGAAAGTTTTAATAGATCTGCTATGAAAAAAAAGCCTTTCGATGACTCGACTTCTTTATCAGAATGTATCTAGTCCATGAGATCATAATAAATCCGTTTAGGTTTCTTCATCACCTGAATACCTATATATGTATATTATTCTGTATTTTATGTTGTATCTTCATTAAAACAAACCATTTTATGTTATGTACACGATTATTTTTGCATCAGATTTGTTTAATTTATGTGCTATTTTCGTTAGGTTTTATGCGGACCGTGGCATGTGTTCCAAGTGCTATCTGTCATGTCGTACGTGTATGGGTCCACGTAGGGACCAGTGCGCCTCGTGCCCACAAGGATGGAGACTTGCCGCCGGAGAGTGCCATCCTGAGTGTCCACAAGGTAAATATGATAATATGCAAATAATTAATATTCGATGAATATCCACAATTTACACTTATACGTCTGCAAGTGACTATTGTCTCGTCGCACTAGATAGACCGTCTTCTTATTTGACTGAGCCAGATATATTAAATTTGCTTTTAGATTTTTACATTATGCTTATATAAATGTATATGTTTGTAAATAGATGATGCATTTAGTGTTCTTTTACTTCGAGTGATAATCAAGGTCTTACATATCGGAGAAAAAAACTGAAAGTAGTTAATTTTGTTTAGATGTCATATTTTTTGCACATTTATTATTAAAAATTTTCTAAGTACACATTATATTTACCAAATTAACTAACGTGTATTGTTGAAATACACTGAGAATGCTTGACTAGTTTCAGTCAAGCTCGCGCTCGCATCACAGTCGTTTATCATTAAGTGTCCCGGTTGGTTCCGAAACTAGTCAAACTTTCTCGACTACAATAGAAGTAAGTTAATCCAGTAGTTGTTATATTAAAATACATCTTTGTGAATATTTTTTGTCTTCATGCGATTTTAAACAACCGCTATTTCTTAGGTTTCTACCAAACCGTCGGCGGTTGTCGGCACTGTCACCATTACTGTCGTGAATGCGACGGATCAGGCCCACTCCATTGCAAGTCCTGTCCGCCGCGATTCATGCTTGACGGTGGACTGTGTATGGAGTGCCTCGGCTCACAGTATTACGATAGTAGCAGTGGGACCTGTAAATCATGCGACTCGACGTGTCGAACATGCTCGGGCCCTGGTCAATTCAGTTGCGCAGGATGTTCGAGACCGCTAAGGCTAGACAGGTTGGTATACTGTTTGTTTAGATTTAAGTGGAAAGACATTTTTGTAATCTTGAAATGGTAACTGCGTATTTGGTGGAACATTTGACGACGGCTCAACCCTCAGATTAAATACTTTGTCATTTATTTCGTGCTTCGTGGTCATTTTAAGCTATTGTCCGCTAAGCTATTTCAAAGGTCGTTATATTTTTTTTTATACAACTTAGAATGGCAAACAAGCTGACGGCCCACCTGATGGAAAGCGGTAACCGTCGCCTATACACATGAACAGAACCATAGACATAACAGAGTATACTGTTTCGCTCATGATACCCCCCATGCGTTGCCATTCCTGAGGACACAGGTGGTATTCTTACCCAGTAAATTCACGCCATAACATTATACATAGTCTCGACTTTTGTAATTATTGTAAACATATTGTTGGTGTATCATTTATAAATAAATAAATAAATATGTGAAAAAGTATTTTATACCACAGGAAGACTTTATTCAAAAGTCGTTTGTTTGGGTACCTCAATCACATTCATGTTTCTGTCGTGAAGCAGTTATATTTGCATGGCTGTATTTCAGTTTGAAAGGTAGAAATAAATATGGAATTAAAATTATGTAAAATTTCTCGTGATAAAAAAAAATTGAATTCTCTTGAAAAGAAAAAAACAAATTCGATAGTTCCTCTGTGGTTGCAGATTTATGTGCGATGTTTATTTTTATTGTTTTTAATCGAGTAGATATATACAACCTGCAGCGCTCTGCGGTAGCGCGCCCCATTTGCTACGGAATAACGGAAATTATACAAGTAGTAGCATCAGAGAATATAGCAATCCGAAATCCAACGATGCTCCCTCGAGCGCGTTCCATACGAAACGGATTCCTCGCTTATTTTGTACGATAACTTATCAGACTCGATGATATTTCGTAGATAGTGAATTCTCAGTTTTACTTTAGACACGAGTTTTACTAAATAGGACTAAAAAATATAGCAAAATTATGACAGAAATAAATAAATGAAAAGTAATACCGTCAGTTAATTTAATTATTACTGTATTATATATAGGTATAAAGTTATTTAGTGGCCGTGTGGTCCCGGCATAGAATAGGGGCCACCTCTACCTTTCCCGTGGGTGTCGTAAGAGTCGACTAAGGGACGGCGAGTGATGGGCAGCAGTGTCCCTCTTGAAACATTTCTAAAGCCTAACTGCGGTTGCGAATACGCTTGACAAGCGTGCCAATTACTGGCAAAACCCCTTAAGGGGGAGGCTTATGTCAGCAGTGGACAGTTAAAAGCTGTTATGATGATGTTATTTTTTATTTTGAAAAATTTTCACTATAACTATATTTTTAATTTTACAAAAATCATTTTATTGTTTGTAGTATTGTATTGTACACCGCTATAGCCGGTGGCTGATTGATGCTCCTTTCCACTTTGGGTTTGTTGGAAGAGAACTCTTATAGAGTGAAGCTCGTCTTTGTACATTTACTTACCTCTGTCATATTTTTTATTACGTATTATTGTGTACAATAAAGTACTAAATAAAAAATAAAAAAAAAGTAGTATTAATAAATATAATTAAAAAATGACGTTTTTGTAAAGATCGTGATTTTAGTTGCGTATCATTTTGAAATTTAAATTAAGTAAATCAAATTGAATTTAAATTAATTATGTAATAATACAATACTAATAAAAGTAGCAACCCTCCACAAGTATTAGGGATGATTTGACGGTTGGTTGGGACTAAAATGTATAATTTAACTTCGACACCAAACGTAGACATATGTAGGCACTTAAAATATTCTGATCAATGTTCACATAATTATTTTCCATTTACCCAAATAACGTTTTACCCATATCCGTTCCTGGAGAGCCTTTGTAATAAGCAGTGACTCCGATTCACGGAACCTTCCATCAATCGAGCAGAAGTTATTTCGCCGTTTCCACGAACAAGGGCGTTAAGCACAACTGTCTAATATGACACAAAAGCGCTTTTGATTGAGGACTTCGAGCCCTTAGCAGACATGTTATGTGCGAGCTGTCGAGGGCGGCTCGAGATGACTCAAGAGCTCTAAAGCCACAGTGAAAGGACTTAGCGACCTCTAACAGATGTTCGTCGAATATTCACATTGTGAATTGTGATGTTTATTTGGTCAGTTAGATTGGAAAGAGTTATTTTTAAAAGGGTTCATACCTAAGTTTGATTACGTCAGAATTATTTAATTAAAAAAAGACAGAAAAATTGTTAATAACTGTCGGGAGCCAACTATATTGAACTTATTTATATCGGCTTTACGCACGCTGTGTTGAAAGCAGCATTGCGTGACCGTGAACCATACTCATGAATAAGGGTTCTTATCGAGTCCGAGAGCGATCTCTTCCAGGCAACCTTTGGATGGAGAGGAGTAATTATAAACAATTTGGTGGGAGGCACGATGAAAAACTCTGTTAGTTCTAAATATGGGAGAAGTATTGAAATATTGAATAGCAAAACGTACTCAAAATTTCTAGTGGTACATTTATAAATGTACATTATATTTTTTCATTATATTCTGTTGAAACCGCGGATTCTTCCGGTTAAATAAAAATGAGGCTCATTTTTATTAGTTTTCTTTCTAAAAAATAAACTAAGGATGGGTAATATATAACAATATCTATATATTGTAGTATCTATACATATATTGGCCCAAAAACAGATATATTAACTGTTATCCAATATATAATATCGAAGTGAAGAACGTTATGAATATAGATATCTGACTGATATAGGTGACATCGCAATAGGTGGCTATCAACGTCCAGAAGAACTCAATATATAGATATCGGATATAACTCGTCTATATAAAATCTTTCATTTTAACCATTTCATATTACCAGAGGGAACTTTGTCTACAGGACGGTACCATATCCATCAAGTGGGCCGTATATTGTTTGCTATTCTATATTGCACAAAAAAAATATATTTTACTACGCGTACGTATTCGATATATAATTAATTAATTCTATTATTTATTCAATATGATCTCTCCGACAGCGTTCTGCGTTTATGTTTAGTAATTCAAAAGAACACAGATAAACACACTCGACATGTGTATTGCTGTAACCAGTAAAATTTATTATTACATCGTCTAATGAAATTATTGTAGGTAGGTTCACCAGAGGAAAACTTTGTACAAAAGTCGATTGCTTGGGTACCTCTGTCCCATTCGTGTTTTAACCGTGAAGCAGTTGTGTTTACATGGCTGTGTTTCGGTTTGAAGGGTGGGATATGGCGTGAATTTACTGGGTACAGAGGAAAAACACCTGAGTCCTCAGAAATGGCAACGCATGGGGGGTATCATGGGCGAAACAGTATACTCTGTCATGTCCATGGTAGTACTCATGTCTATAGGCGACGGTTACCACTTTCCATCAGGTGGGCCGTCAGCTTGTTTGCCATTCTAAGTTGTATAAAAAAAAAATTAAAACAAAATAACTACTGTTTTCAATGGATGAATGAAAAAAACTGAAATGAAAAAAACAGCTTTTTATTTAATTTCATTTAAATGAATGCAAATAAAATTAACTAAATGTATATTATAAAGAGAGATTTGATTTATTGTTTGTAATGGATTAATTAAAAAATACTTTACCGATTTTTTTAATTCTGTCACCTACAGGAAGATACATTATCACAGTATAAAAATACAGATTTTCACTTATCCTACTATCTTCTACTTATCTATCCGCATGAAGCTAAGACAGGTTGTTTTTTTTTTAAATTGGTGATAATGAAAAGGTAACTCCGCCTGCGCTAACGGTATACGCTGGCAGGGCACCAGTGGGAGATGATAGATGAGGATGAAAGCAGCTTAATTAGCTCGTCGTGAAGAATTCCACGAGAAGTAACCACGATGGTTTCTAGGGGGAACCACGTGGAGGTTGACCTGATCAGTAAGATTGCTAGCAATGGGGTTGTTAGATCCCATTGCTAACAATCTCTTTACCCCCAAGGCAGGTTTAGTATTGTGGGTGATCGTGGGCGGCGGTAGTCACTTACCACCAGGTGTGTTGTAAAAAAAAGATCGTTAGGTATGAATATCATTATGTAATGTATACAATGTTTGTGCAGACTAAACAATCAATGCGTGCCGTGTTGTTCGGGCGGCGCGTCGACCAACACTTCGGCCGGGCCCGACTGTTGCCACTGTCATCCTGATACCGGTGAGTGTTTAGTATCAATAATGGCCTCTTTATTGTGCCATTGTTAGGGAAAATATCATCGTTTCTAATACTAAACAGTTAAGGAATGGAATGTCTAAGCTGGTTCTGTGTTTCTGGAGGAGTAGAATCTGGAACTTTTCAAGTTGATAATGAATAAATATTTCTGGGTAAGTACGTTCCTGCTTAGATCTTGTGATCGCTTACCATTAGGCGAGGTAAGATCAAATGTAAAACCAATATATATGTATAAAGTGTATTGAGGGATGTCCGATCCCTCTTATGTGAAACTTACCTGAAATAATTAAATTTATTATTAAAATTTATCAATCGAAATTGTTTAAACTTATCATCGTCCATTTGTTTGTTAATTTTATTATTCGTTTAATTTTCAAGTTTTAATTACTCCTATTCATTCCGAGATTACTTGGGATCGTTATTTAGCGACGAAGGCAGTCATTGTCGCCTCCGCCTCTTTACCTTGCTTCTTGTGTTTCTAATCTATTTAACTTATACTGCCATGATTGATCATCGACAAACTGTTTCATAGTCAGGTTAATTATTTACTTTTCATCAAGATCTAGTTTTGATCTTAGTATTTTTTTTTCAATTGACAAATGAATACAGCAACAGCGCAGATATATTGAACATGTGGTTTTACCTTGTATTATGTTACAGGCGAATGCATAAACTCGTCGGTGGCTGGTAAGAGGCGTATTGCGGAGTGGTCCGCCCTGCACACCGCGCCGAGCACGCGCGCCGCACCCAGCGTCGCTGCCGTCACGCTCACTGTGTGCGCGGTCGCCGCGGGGCTGTTCCTCTCTGTATTGGTAGTTTTACAGGTGAGATAGAATGATAATAGTCTTATTTGCCACAAGATTACTTATTTTTGGATAAAATATAGAAAAAAAAAATAGCATAAATGTAAATAACTATAAATAGTAAAAATAACTCTAGACAAAAGCAACAGTTATATTTTTGAATCATTCTAGATTCTACACTAGGATTTGCTGTGTGATGGAGTGTTATCTCTTCATAAGTATGTTGTTAATAAATTCATTCATTGAAACTATAATATTATTTGCGCTATCGGTATAAAAGTGAATGAGGGTGGTGGAGGAGGAAATCGGGTTAGAGAAATTGACCAGGAATTAATCACGATGGTTTCGAAGGAGTGGGGGGGGAGAGGTGATGATCGATCTGATAATTGGATATTAATCTTGCTAGCAATGACGCTGTTAGTCTCCATTATTAACTCTCCTTTTATCCTTAAAAGAATTTATTATTATTAATCACTCTGCTGTTTACTTTTTTATGACATTGCCACATGGAATAATGTTATTATTTTAGTATTTTGTTATACTAATATTCTGGCACTTTTGCGTATTTCCCACCAAGAAATAATAAACAGTTAAAGTGTCAAAGTACAAAATAACAGCAACATCACTATTTGTATATTGCGTATGAATAATCGCTAAATAGGTCAATTATTTATACGAACACATGTTTTTAACAAACTATTCGGGGTGACCGAATACATCAGAAATGTTCAGTATAGCAATTACGTTTAGTTATGTAAATTGTATAGAAATCATTCAACGCGGAAGTGATTTCGTTATGATTTACGATCAAATACCGATTGGCTATTGCAAAATGCAAATACAATTAGTTATCTGAGTGCGTATCTGACAGTTGTCATTTTGGGTGTGATTTAATATTAGATTATTCCATTGAAATATTGTAGAATTTCTGTTATATTTACATGTTAATTTTTTTTCACACACGTTTTATCTGATTTCAAATACAGAATAAATAATAGTGATAACTTAAAGTTCTATTTTCTCGTATTTGGTCCTTATAAGTAGTATCTACATATATTATGTAATAATAGTATGTTCGTTGATTGATTGAATTAGCTGTGAATGTGGAGGAAGCGAATGGAGTATGTTTGAATCGGAGTATTTGACGTTTCATTGTTTCTGTTTATTCCAACCCAATGGGAGGCAGGTATGACATATATATGCTTTACAATAATCTATACACGCTATATATTACTAGCATGGTAAATAGTAAGTATGATATGGGATGGGTACTATCTCCAGTAACGGGTTCACCATGGTGATGTTACTTTATTGCTATAGATTGACAATTACAATTATCATAACTAGATACCATATTGTTGACATATTTTTTTTATTCTTTAGATGCGTAGCGCACGGGAACCGCGACCGCGTTCGCGAAGCGCTCGCGACATCCTGTATTCCCCGCTCGCGTGCACCGACGACGGCGAGGTCGCTGTACTGAACGCTCGCACCACTTTCCCCGTATGCGAGCACACCGAGCAAGCGGCCGAACACGAACACGAAAAGGAACCACTTCTGGAACATTCTATATAGCGCGCACTGTGATCGTAGACGTAAGTGTACGTACCTTTAACGTGTGCCACGGTGTAATTAATGCCGTTTGTGATTTTAACACGTTACATAAGTTTAATTAGTGATACGCGGTCACAACAAATTATTGAATTACTGATCGGAGTCTCGATAAAGGATAACTGTTACTTCCATTGTAAAGTGACTGTAAAGTTGTGCTCGAAAGTCTGTTTTAGCATTTTATTTTACAACGATAACATTGGACACAATAAATGAAAATCACAAAGTATTCATATAAAATATAAAAGCATAATTGATCTTTTTTTATTCGAATATATTTTTGGCAAGTGCGATCGTTTTCGTGATGGTCGAATGGAGTTGACACGAGTCGCAATCGTTATGTACGTATGTAATATAGTTAGAATGTAAATTGTAAGTTTGAACAAAATGTTCTTATTACGATAGGGGCCAATTGGTCCCGAGCCGTTTTATATTGTGATATGGAAGTCTAATTCTAATTTAGTTAACGGGTTTGCTGTTACTGCCATTTAATATAGAATATTCTGTCTCGAATACTTTGCCAGTATTTTCAAATTTATTTATTTTCTATTTGTTATTTTTTAAATTAAATTTAATGTAAACTTAGTATAATAATTGCTAAGTGTTCGAAATCATAATGTACGCAACTTTTTTATTAATCTCTCTTAGATATAATTTTTTCTTTTGTTTAACATTTGAAAAATTATATGATAATTTCTGATGGGGTTGTCTCTCCAAGTACCTTATTATATCAAGTATGAATATAGTTAAATGAATATATATATATATATATATATATATATATATATATATATATATATATATATATATATATATATATATATATATATTTAAAACAATTTCTTGATAATATCATCCCATTTATATATCAGGCGTGAATTTATGGGAATACAGAGGAAGCATTTGCACCTGAGTCCTCATCAATGGCAACGCATGGGGGGTATTTTCAAACAGTTATTACAAACTCTGTTATAATGTTATGCTTATTAAAAGAATCTATATAGAAAAATCTGGCAAGAAAGTGAACTATTATTAAAGATAATAAACTAACATTATAGGTAAATAAAAAAAAAAAAACTTGAACGAAAAAGTGAACAAAAACTAGAAATATTTTCCTTCTAAGCTAAAACTGATACACTGAATATAAGTGAAATGATATGACGGTGATTTAGAATCAATAGCCGTCCAGTAAACCTCTGCAGAACTTGGGCTACGGACAAGAAATCAATACGACCACGTGACCGGAATCAACGTGCCCATGTCGTTGAACTTTAGTATTTGCGTCAAACTTGTAGGTGTTAGTTTAACATATGTGTATCTTCGAACAATTAACAACAACTAACCTGTTAGAACTTCACACTTGCTCTATAATTTCCATGTATGCTGAACATTGTCTATGGTTTTACCGATAATTATTAAACATAAATAATTAAACATAAAATCGCTTTAAACTTTATATAACTGTTAAGTGAATTTTTATATGTATCTTAGAACAATTAACAACATGTAATCTATTAGAACTTCACTGTCGTTCTATAGTTTCTATGTATATTGTCCATGGTTTTACTGATTTATAATTAAATATAGAATGCGTTTGAAAATAACGATTTTTTAAAACCTATAAAACAGTTGGTAGTATTGACATTCGATCTCTCTCAATATAGAGTATATATAAAATTTACTTTTTTTACATATAAAGAAATCCCTTGCTTTATTTCTTATAAAGTCATAGAATGGTCATAGAATATGCAAGTCAAAGAATTTAAGTGTTTAAATTTAAAAGAAATTTGTAACCTCACTTAGACAATAAGATGCAGGAGTCTCTCCATTTTAGCTCTCTCATTTTAATGCTCTTCGTCGATTCTAATTGTTTATTTTAAAAAGTTTAAAAAGTATAATACAATTTATTGTTAAAAATAAATTCTCACTCATGATCTTGTTTATTATTATTTATGAAAATACTGGTCTAGTCACTTGCGAAAGTTGTTTATGAATTTCTAATTTCTGGGTAACAGCAAATTCGCGCCTAAAGTCACTGAGCATGAGCCATAGTCGTTGCCACATTAATTTACTTGATCGTGACGAACCCAAGATCTGAATCGGCTTCTAAACGACGTCTCAATATTATGTACATTATTATAATTACTTTATTTAATTGTAATATACCTAGTTCGTAAGTTCAGAAGTTACCATACATGTATATGTACAATATTGAAATTGAATTTGGAACACGAATATCATTTTGGCGCCAACTTTTTTTGATCATAGACAAAGTATAATTTTTTTAGTTAAAATATACTTCGCTTGTCATGTGTTTATTATTGAATTTAAGTAGGAAATCCTTTGCTTTTTTTTATTTAGGAAAATTCGAATATTATGTTGTACTATTTCTTATTAGTCACAAAACTGAAAATTATCTTTATACTTAGTGTTTTGTATTTTGTCACGTAAGTTTTATTTCGCATCTATGTACCTAAATAGAATCTAATAAATTTTAAATAGTTGTAATGTATGGAATGTGATAACAATCTAATACGAGTATGTGTAATGATCACAAATTTTAATACCACTGTATCAAAGAGGAACTGTTACCATTTACCGTCACAAAATGTTTATAGGGGTTTTTGGCTAGATTGTTGAATTTTTAAAATATTATCAACAAAATTTTATTATTACCTAATTCAAAAATTAAGTCACAAAAACTATCAGCCTCTCAATTGTTTTGGTCTCAAAATATAAAATGCGTAATTTTAATTTATTATGTTTACAATTATTTATACGATTATTTTAGTATTGATTTTAGAATTTTATAGAAAACCTTCTTGACATCTGATAAATGGCGAACGAGTTTTTTAATTGTTATATACCTAATTGCATGATTTTGAATCTTATTGATACATGATTTTAAAGCTTATTTAAAAAGTTTCATACACTTATATTGAAACTCGATTCGGTTTCTATGACGATTTTGTAATTTGTTTTAGTGGGAATTTTTTAATTAAGAATATATTTTTGTATGAAATATTCTTATGTGCAATTAATATTTGTAATAAAATGGAAGTCTATGTCAACGAGAATTTTTACTTTTATTCTACTCCTGTCCACTTTACGTGTATGTCTTACACAGAATACGCACGCACACACGTATACACGCACACATGAACACACACACACACACACACACACACACACACACACACACTCGCACACAAGAACACACACACACAAATAAACACACACACGTTTAAGGGAACTTAATTGTCGAGGGATGGGCAGCAGCTTCCCTCTTAAAATATCACAAAATCCCTAACTGCGGTTGCCAACCTGCCTGCCAAGCGTGGCAACTACTGGCAAAACTCTCCTTATTGGGAATGTTCCTCCCTATGTTTAGCAGTGGCAATCGACGGTTAATATAAAGTATAAATAATAGAATAAGATATGTCAGCAATAAGACCGCCTTACTGTACTTATACAATTGTATCGTTGTGTTTGTAAATTGCCTTGCTTATTTCCTATATTTTATAATGCAAATAAAGTATACTCATTCGTTCATTCATAAATAATGGCACTTATTTATTATTATTCGTAAATGTTGCCCTGTATTTTATTAATACATTTATATCAAATGTCATATATAAGAAGTTAAGCTCGCAGTTGGAGTAGAAATAATTCTTAGGTGGAAGTCGGTCGCAGTGCTCTTAGTTAGTCGCCAACTACTCAATATAAAGTGTTATATAAAAGAGCATAGACGTAACACAACTATGACAGTGGACTTGCTTCAGGAAATTATAATATTAGTAACTTAAATCCGCGACTTTGTCCGCGTCACCAGAGGGAGACTTTGTACAAAAGTCGATTGCTTTTGTCCCATTCGTGTTTCAACCGTGAAGCAGTTGTGTTTCGGTTTGAAGGGTGGGATATGGCGTGAATTTACTAGGTACAGAGGAATAACACCTGAGTCCTCAGGAATGGCAACGCATGGGGGGTATCATGGGCGAAACAGTACTCTGTTATGTCCATGATACTGCTCATGTCTATAGGCGACGGTTACTACTTTCCATCAGGTGGGCCGTCAGCTCGTTTGCCATTCTAAGTTGTATAAAGAAAAAATATGTTTACTGACCGGTAGTAGTTACTGAAGTAGCCCATCTATATTCTTATATATAATCCTATATACAAGATGTAAGTGACAGGTTGACAAAAACTGAAACAGTGAATTCACACCATTATTCTAGACTGAAAACCAGTGGAATTTTTTTCCTGGAAAATTTTAAATTATTTTCCTGTTTTTTTTTTTGTTTTATTTAAAATCATGATATCTATGATATGTATAATATACATAAATATTAATATTTTATAGTGAAATACTATGAAATACCAAAAAAACGGCAATGTAGTATTTATATTAAAATGCTTCCGCGACCTACAAACATCGAAACATGTTTACAAACTTTTGCATTTATAATATTAGTAGGGTGACGTTAAAGGCCTGTGCGGACGTCGGATAATTTGTCTGCTAACAAAATTTCCCATTTTGAAAGCTTTTTATTTGTACAACATGTTCGTTGTAGCATGTAATTTTAAGAGTTATGTTATGATCTGAATAAAATTAGGGCCTAGAATTGTCTCTCATCTGATTTAAAATCCTGGAAATTGGACTCCTAAATCCTAAATTTTGGACAAAACGTGTGTCAGTGGCATCCTCTAATGTCAAGAGTTTCCAGGCCGCCATCGTTATACGCGATGACATCTGACATGGTTTACCAGATGACGGCTTTATCTGCTACGAAGCACGAGCCACGAAGCTAGTAACGACAAATTTTAAATGATCCAAACAAATTTAAAATTCATAAGTTTAAACAAGGATTCGATTTTGGAGCCTTGTCCCCTTATTTATAAAAACTAAAATAGCTTACAAATCTATTTAAGCTATTAAAGTCTTTTGTTACTTTCTTTCGTAAAAAGTTGGTGCAAAGAAAGTCAAGATTTATGAGAGGTTATGTGACGTTTTTATGAATATGGACGTTAGATTAAAGTCAAGCATCTTCCAATTGAGTTACCCTGTGGCATTGTGTGCCGTGTGGTCTTAGCATAGAATGCTCCTTCCTTTCCTGTGGATGTCATAAGAGGTGGCTAACAAAACGTAATGGTTGAGAGGTG